CTGAGAGGCATGCACCTCTGGTCCGCTGTTCCCCCTCCCTTGAGTGTTGATGTCATCCACACAGTGTAACCGTCATCACGCCGGCAGCAGCAGCACCAGTGGATTGTGGACGCCTTGAACGCGTCCAGAGCCCCCTACTGAGTGATCCCCCTCTGCTGGTCAAACCCTCATAGTATATAGGACCGTTGGCACCTGCCCTCACCCGCCAGCTGGAGTGCACGGCGCTGCGCGCGCACATGGTCAGGCCCAGGCTACCCCAAGAGGAACTGGTACCAGCTGCTGGCCTGGAATAAAGATCCTGTCCAATGATCAGACCCCTGGTCTAGTGCAGGTACTGGCGCTGGCCCAGTTGCGGCAATGGTACCGGTACTTTTTGGTTCCTGTATGAAGCTAGTAGTACCGTTTCTGTAATAGCGTGCGGCCCTCCGGCGAGGTTTGGCACAATCAGGAATCTGTAAGGCCAGCAGTCTTGGTAAGGCCCAGGTCCAGTGGCGCTGTCAATGAGAACCTGGCCCTGAAATGCAGCAGTTGTCGCGCGTACCTTGAAACCTCTTCGATTACTGCCTCTTTCATTGCTGCCCTGATCCGGCCAACCACCAAGTCGTCCCAACCAGTAAGCCCCAAAACAGGCAGGCGAACGCTGCTCTCTACTCCCCCCCTCACATGCAAAACCCCGGAGGTCGGCACACATAAAAAATAGAGGCGCAACGAGGGAATACAAAATGGGCTGGATCAAGGTTATAGCTTGGGGGAAACAGAATCACGGATAAAAATAAAGTATCGAGTATATTCTTTTTTTTTTTTTTCGTTTTCATAATTCATTATCTTGACCCCGACTATTAATTTCTCCGCATAAAACAAATAAAACATCTCGACGTCTTGGCCGGACAAAAATGGCAGCCGCAATCTATCATCACAAAAAAGTGGAAACAAAGCGAGCCGCAATCCATCATCACAAAAAAGTGGAAACAATTGTGCAAGATGAATCTTTGAGGTAGGTAAGTATAACTTTGAGGAAGCCAAATGCAGTAGCAGACTGTCTGTTGCCCGCAATTTAATATCCCTGGTAAGTATAATCCACTATCAGAGGGGGAAAAGCGGACTATACTAAATTTCTAAGCAGCGGAAAAGAAGTGCAAAATTTTGAAAAGCAGCAGATTCCAATTCTTTCGAACAGAAAATTGCAGAAGGACTTGGATCAATTTCCGCTCTCTTGCAAGAAGAGAAAAGTGAGCGACAACAGAATTTTCCACATAATATTTCCAGACAAAAGAATGTCTGGAGACTTGGTAGATGACCAACAGAATTTGCTTGCATCAAATTGGTTCTCTACTAATTAATTAATTAATCAAGCAATCAATCAGCGCTTAATTCGGATGAGCAGATCAAATAGTTTTTGACTGTTTTTCCTTTGGTCTGCTCTGATACCTGATACCAAACTGTCGCATGCCTTGCCTGTATGAAACAAGGCATGGTACAGAACCAAGAACCGCCAAAGCGAGGAGAAAGCAACAAAGCAATGCAGCGGAAGACTGAAAAAAAAACTGCGATCTGACTCATCAGACTCACAACTGAGACAATGCACTTGTAATGTCAAGAAGGAGGGACGGAGGGAAACATACATTGACGAAAGATCCCTCACACAACACACTCATGGCAAAACCACAGACGATGGCAGTGGGAAGAAGAGACGAAATGTGAGAGAAGCCAGATGAACAGAGTGATACTCGAGCGTAGTAGATGAAATAATAGTCTGTCCACAACCCAACAATCACCACCAGATACAATGTCAAATATGAACCCGGGAGCACGTCTCCCCAAAATAGTCTCCCAGTCCCTGATCTCTCTCTCTCTCTCTCTCTCTCTCTCTCTCTCTCTCTCTCTCTCTCTCTCTCTCTCTCTCTCTCTCTC